TCATTTTAGTCTTCTTTGCAAGCATTTTCAAAGAACTCAAGCAGGCGGAATGAAAACATTGTTTATGGGAATGTAACGCAACGAAGATACTAATGATGCGTTATTCTATCGTACCGCACATATAGCTCTTCGTCCCCAACATGTTCAAAGGGTTACTTCGCATATAAATTTTGATAAGCAAACTCCTGAGGAACTAGACCTGTCTTCGGCAGATATTGTGTAGCAACAGCTGCAAACGAGCATAACAAAAAAAGCGTAGGTGGTAACTACGATGTGAGAGTCGTGCTTGCGCCCTCAATGACCCTCAAAAATAAGGCAGTGAAAGCTTCGAGTTCGGGTTGACCTCTAATGCTAGAATGATTTGGGCTGAGAAGCCAGACGAATTGTGATTTATCGACAATTCGTTATGACGGATTACAACGAAACCGTTCCGGCACAGGATGAGCCTTTGCCGAAGTCTCCAACGGCAAAGCATATTGTTGGGGAACACAGGGAGTCAGCGGGAAGTGGCTGGCGGAATCTGCTTCAATTCATTTTGCACTCGGAGACGTAGGGGAATAGCAGTGGTAGAAGGAAAATACACTATGGCGACAATGTTGAATTATATAATAATTGGTGAAGATGGCGGCACTTTACAGTCAAGATGCAGGGAAAAAGTTATTCGTAAAGAATGCTGAAACAGTGAAGAAAAATGTATCGCCTCGTGGTATCAAGCAGCAGGTCTGGCGAACCCGAAGCAGATCACTGAGAAGAACTTAATGAGATCAGAAGAACGCCTGATATTAAGATCTTTTAGCAAAACGATCAACAACGAAATGCATGAGCAAATTCAATCTTGAAAAATTGTACTACACAAATGAACAAAATTAATGAAGTGAAACAAAAGGTATCTTTATTTTCATTCTTCCTCTTCCATGGCCGATTCTCCATCCGGGTTGCGGACAGTTCTCTCAATGTTCGCATTCTGTGCCAGAGTCTAAGCTTCGGCGGACGACAATTGGAGTCAGGAAAAGACTCGCTCCATATATTTACACCAGGATAATCTCCTGGACATCAGTCGGTTGGTTTGGAAAGAGCCTTCCTTTCTGGAGGCATTTGCATCACATGGTGAAACCATCGCAGCTGTGACTTCTCAATTTGGAGA